ACTATCTCAAGTTTCTAGATTGCCGGTAACGGCTGTCATGGCCATTTACCATACGGAGGTGAGTCCAGTACTGTTGAACCAGTTTGAGGCATCCAATCCCAGGGAAGTTGCTCTATCGCAGATTACATTGCACCCTTGCACATGTAGAGACGATCTTGCCACTCGAGGCGGCGTATTTTTATTTTGTTTTTTGTGTTTTTTGAAGGTGGTGGTGGGCAGGATTGTGTAGCAGGTGAGAAGCCACTTGTTCTTGCGCCCTAATGCCGTGGGCGTATCGATCCAAGTGAATGGAGAGCGTCCCAATGGCACAGTGTTCCAGAACAATGTGGCCACCATCTACGTGACAGACTGCAGGTCCCTAGTCCTGTGATCGACAGAGGGAGAGTGAAACATAGAGGGGGCAGATAGATGGCCGAGACATCTGTCTGTCTATGGACTTGCGCCGGGTGGCCGAGTCGATGTTGAGTTGGCGGGTCGCGCCAGGTCAAAGATCATCTGGCGTTGCCTGGCTAGAGAGAGACGGTTGATCGCTCTCTCACGGGAGACAAGGCGCAGCCAATGTTGACGATCTTCGAGTGATTTGTAGAGGACAGTTTTGCGGGAATAAGCGGTCGGTTAGTCAATATCTCCAACTGGTTCACTCGGGTTACGAGGAGTACAACATCCCTTCCCGCCTTACCAGGCTAAATCAGCGCATTGAAAACAATGAACGCCAGATGTCACCTTCGTTAGCACGCAAATATAACTGCCTCCATCAGCAGATGTACATGGTACGGCGGCTTGCTGAAGCCAATTATCGCACTACCTCAGCCGGCAAGGTTCCTTGGTCTCCAAAGTTGCAAGGCTTTTGGGACCGGTTGAGTCTCTGGAAGCTCCTCCTGAAAGGACGTCAACGCTGCCGGGTGAGCTCACGCAAGGTCCGGCGTCTGATGAAGAAGACAAGGCTACGCGACGCATGGAAGAAGACAACTGATGAATTGGAAGAGGCATTGTCAGCTGAACGCCGGGCTTATAAGCAAGCCAAACGTCAGGCAGCCCAATTGAGACGGGACTTTCTTACGGCTCAGACAAAGGATGCAAAGAAGAATTCATCACAACCCGCAGTATTATAGATATTCGGACATAACAATCACATCATGCAGTGTATGTGAGTGAGTGGGAAGTGGAAATGCGACTCGACGATCAAATATTGGAGTGACAGAACGACATCTTATCTCATTCTCATCAAAGATCATGAATCTGGAGTTTCGAGATGACATCTTCCGGTCTGGTGTGATTGTTGTGTTCATAACATCTTTATGATTGAAAGATGTTGGGTATCGATGTTGTACGCTGTACAACTATGCAACTACAAATAATTTGAAACACTATAAACAAGTGATCTATAAAAAACTATTAGTGGGCATATTGTTGTGTGACGACATGCAGGATTCTTTGACCAAAGAACCATCACAGCAGAAGTATACCGGTACATCCACGGAATTATCGACCTCGACCGACACCCCATCTTTCAAGAGTGCATGTTAGGGTAGTTCAAACATAGCTGGTCTGGGCTAGGCGCCAAACTATCACTTGCGGGTCTTAGGCTTGCTCAAGCTTTGGCCGTCCGAGTCGTGTTGGGACACACAGTTTTTAAAAACTCCTCCTGAGCCTAGCTAGAGCCGTGACTCGTCCCTCATCACGGCTCCTTCTTGTTACTAGACTGAACTATTCTTGCTTGCTGGTACCAATCCTTAGCTTAGCGATAGTCTTTTCCATCTGCTTCAGAATGATCATTTGTTTGTTTCTATAGGTAGCTATCTGGTGTGGAAAAGTATTTCTGGTGTATTGTTCTCAATGCACTAGTGCCTGGCAGAGCGAATTGGCTACCGATACGCAAGGATGCAACTAGTAGTACCAGATAGTCTGTATTCTTGCTCGCCGAAGATGTTCTTTCCATCTTCTTCGGAATAATCATTTACTTGATTCTATAGGTAGTATTCTTGTGTATCAATGTCCTCGTGCTCCAGCGGCCACTACTAGCACCTTCCAATATAAGACGACGAGGAATTTACTTAATATGCAGCCACTCCATCTGCGAAGTCCATGCGTCATCTAGAGACCGTGTTGCAAGAACGAATCATGTGAAAAGCATGGAATGTCGCCCATTCGACAATAGTGGAGCCATCAAGCCAAACAATTCAATGAGGCAGTGGGAATCCCCGGATTTCTCCCCTAGTTGCGAGATTTTCCCACAGCTCAATTTTTCCCACAGCTCAATTTTTCCCACAACTCAATTTTGCTTCCCACAACTAGTTGTGGGATTGTTTTGATGTCAGGCATGTCGTAGATGTCACATGATGAGTCAGAGACACAAGCAGATGTCCAGCTTGTTCTCTATCATGCACGGCCAATAAGTAATGTATATATTGGCGAGGAACGGGTTCGAC